AGTGACCACATGAACTCCCTACATGAAGTGTTTGCTTATTTGGCAAAAACATCTTTTAACAGTGATTTAAAAAAAAGTGAATTCGGGAAAGCCGTAGTCACTTACCTGGGTAAGCAGGTTGGCCATGGACAGGTGCGTCCTGTTGATGCCAAAGTTGAGGCAATTGTGAATTTCCCCATCCCAAAATCTAAAAGAGAGCTGCGCCGTTTTCTTGGTATGGTTGGATATTACCGTGGATTTTGTAAAAATTTCTCCTCTGTTGTGTCCCCCCTGACAGATTTGTTGAGCATGTCCAAAACTTTCACTTGGAGTCATGAATGTAATAATGCCTTCAATGCTGCCGAAGACGTCCTGTGTAGTGCCCCAGTCCTCTCTGCCCCTGACTTTTCAAGACCCTTCAAACTTGAGGTGGATGCCAGTGCGTTAGGGGCAGGTGCTGTCTTGTTGCAAGAAAGTGAAGCCGGAATCGACCATCCTGTGTGTTATTTTTCAAAATGTTTTTCTAAAACACAGCAACGTTATAGCACCATTGAAAAAGAGGCCTTAGCATTAATCCTTGCCCTTCAGCAATTTGAGGTTTATGTCGGTGGTAGTCCCCTACCTATAACGGTTTACACTGACCACAACCCCTTAGTCTTCCTCCTAGGCATTGCCAACTCGAATCAAAGGCTAATGCGATGGTCTTTGGTGGTCCAGAGTTTTAACATTGACATACGCCAAAAGAAGGGTACTGAAAATGTACCCTTGCTGATGCTCTTTCTAGAACTTGAAAAAAAATGTTGTTTGTTTGTTTTTGTCAAAATGAGATTTTGACTTTTATGGGTGGGGGTGTTACATTGAGGTGTATGTCGTGCCTATGCATCTCTCTCTCTGTCGTTCTCACAGATGGCTCCGCCCTAATTGAACGCGCCGGTACGTGCCGCGTGGTTGGCCGAGGCTGGAACTGTGCATCTTTCAAAAACGCAGCGAGGCTGATCTGGATGTGGGATGTTGTTGATGGTGTTGTTGGTTGAATTTGTGATTACTGATAAGAAAAGAAAGAGAATCTCTGTATAGTGTCTTTTTGTAAATATCGTGACATCTATTTTGGTCTTTTTCTTTTCTATTCACCTTACCCACCCAGTGTTGTGTTGTTGTTGTAAAGTTTTCATCAGATTGTTTTTCTTTTAACGTGGCTGTGTGTTTTCGCCCGTTATTGTAAATATTGTACATATCACTTCATTTCAGCACGGAAGCTGTAGGGGTTGGGTGCCACTATATTTTGTAACCTATGCGTTTTCTCCTGTTTTTGGGCTAGTCAGGGAGTTAGTTCAGTCCCTGTATTAATTTGTTTGAACCTTTTCTTTTTAGGGTAGTAAGATTCTTTGGGAAAAAGGTAGTTTAATTTTTTTGTTTATTATTTTGGCCTTGGCCCAACCCTGAAGCCCATTCGCTTCCTATTTTGTGTACTGTTTTATTGCCATTGAACTTGACTAGTTAAAAATTCAAATAAAGAAAGAACGAAAGATCACAACACCCCAGTGTAAAGATCTTTATTTATGTTATTCTTCTAGACCCTAGACCTGGGACGTAACAGTTTCCAAACTTTTTTTGTAAGCTGAACTTATTAGACGTAAAATATTTATTGAAATACCCCCTGAAAGTTGATATTTCAATAATTTAATGACATGCACATTTCACATGTTCTGAAATTGGTTAAAAGTGCTTTATTTTGATTGCTTTTATTTTAAACTTATGAACATAGTGCACAACTTGACCAAAAATATATTGTGATTATTTTGATGTTTTAATTTAGTATGAAAATGTCTTTTATTGCTACTGCTACGGAGACATCCAGACAAAAAGAAGAAAAAGAGCCAACAAGCACTACAAGTTAGGATCACAGGAAAACACATTTAAACTCACAGTGCTTGCAGAGATCGGTTCATGAGAAAGAGCATTTACTGTGAAATGAGCCTATGAAACACAGTATTATTAACTAATAAAATATGAATTAATTATCAGCTTTTCATTAACTTACAAACCTCCTGCAATTCCCTCACAAACCTCCACGGGTTTGGCAAGCCCTGTTTTGGAAACCCTGCTTTAAGCTATAACTTGAACACTAGACGTCCTGGACATTACAAATTGTAAATGGTAATGCTAATAACTGGTTGTTGTTATTATTAAAAATGATCACTTTTTTGTAATTGTAATGTGAGTGGTGATTAATTGGAAGGTGTAAGAGATACTACAGTACATTTCACCTTTGTAATTTGCAAAACAATTCTGTAAGGAGACATGGATTTGTATTAATTTAGAGGCTGTATTTATGTTGAAATTTTACAGAACACTATAAAAAGTGAATAAAAGAGTTGAAAGAACCTCTTAAGTTAATCTGAAGCAAGCCCTGGAGCTGCTCCAAAGCTCTGATTGAAAAATTGCATTAATATTAAAGAGTACTACTTACACTTTATATCATAATTGAAAAACTAAACTTCATGGACCAGGTGAATCATTATTCAGAGGACTAAAATCATAATGATTTATACACAGGCACCCAGAACTAAAACAAGACTATTACTCTCCACTATTTACTTGTTTCCTTTTAATTTGTCATTTTAATTCATCTCTTCAATAAAAGCTTTCAATTAGGATGCATTCCAAATGAACGTCTCTCTGCACTCCATCAAATGCTGGCAACTCTGTGATGTGCGATAACTCCCAACCTTTTAATTATGAGTGGCTTCAAGCGGTGACATTCCTGACAACTCCCAGCTGATGAAATGTCTGGAAACATTGCATGGTTATATTACAGGATACCTCGCCAGCTGATGTGTGTTTCCACAATACACATACCTGGGGAGTGATATTACACTTCTCTTTTCCAGCTTAATAATGTCAATCTTTAGTTACAGTCACCTTTGTGCCACTGGTCTCTAAATGAAGACCTTGGCTTTGTTCTGCCATCACTTTACTGTTGGTACCAATTAGACCGATGTGCTGAAGACAGTTTTTTTTTTTTAACCGTGGAAGATTTAACGATTTCCCCTGTAGACCAATAGATCTGCACTGTGATTTAGAGCTTTTCTCTGTGATGACAGACGGTTATATACTTCCCAGAGAATTGACCAGTGTGTGACTTCAAAATTTGTTTTGTAGCTCTGAGATACACATTGTGTCGACACAGACCTCAATTTACATATAGGGTGAGTACATGAAGTGAAGGTGCAAAAGAGGCGTTGTTTTATGTAAGGCAACTGAAGCGCTTTTCTTTTCTCGCATTTTGGCCGAATAATGTTCAAAACCCACATTATTTCCCATGGGAGGTCTAAGCACAGACTGTACATCCTCGAAGGCAGTCACAGATGCCATGAAGGCGGTTGTTATTCTCATTTTACCTACTACTAACCTCTAGAGTGGTTATGTGTGAGTCTGGTTTTGCAAAAGCAATGGTGGAAATAAAAGCAATGATCCGAAGCACTGAATACCAAGCACAAGCCATTATGAAGCACCTGAATATGTATTACAAATCATAGAATTGTTGAATTACTGTTAGAAAAGTATGTTGATAAAAAAAATCTCGCATTGCCTTATGCTTTGTGAAGTTTTCCTTTCAGGAGTTAAGCTGAATCCTTTCATTTAAAAGAAGTGTGCTTAATTGTATTAAATGTGCACTTGGGAGTGTATACTTCAAATATGTAATGTTTATGAATTTGAAATGTTTCATGTACTGTACATGCAGATTGATATAATAATATAATATTACTGAAATAAAAGACTACTTAGTTGTACTGAAACGGAGTACTCTTATTTCTTAAGTTAATAAATTTCATAAATACTTCTATTGTTTTTGAAATATGGTTAGTACTGCCAGATGTACTGACAGGCATTTAAGGTTAAATAAAATATACTTTAAATACACAACATTTAATACATATCAGTTGGCACCTGTATATCATGCATTTAAACATTTGTAATTACACCAGTGTATGACAAAGTTGCTATTTTTAAGGTGTCCTTGTTACACTGTAACTATATATTTGTTTAGAATTATGCATGCGATTATGCATAATTTATTGTTATTACTATAACGAAGTACATGAAACAAGTGTAACATGGACACTAAAATAAAGTTAACCAATGTAACATATTTACAATATTTTAACCTAACTTAACTTTGTAATATCAAATAACACACTGCAGTTAAAATGATAGCAATTACTTTACACATGCTTTAGTATGTTAGTCCACACATCAAAAAAGTGTACTTTTTTAAAGCATAACAAAAGATTTATAATACATAATGATTTAAAATATACATTAAAATAAAACTTTAATTTGGAATTATTACAAAAGTGCACTTTTTAAAAGTTTCCTTAACTGCGTTAAGAAACATGGGCATGAAAGTATACTCTCCCTAAATGGATTTTTATTTCATTAATATTATATTATCTGCAAGTACAGTATTTTGAAATAAAAATAAATACCCCATTCATTTTCTTTTATTTCCGTCTTTGCTCTTAAGCATTTGTATGCATTTGAATGTCTAATAAGAACTAGCTGTACATGTTGTTATGAGATACCAGTACCAATGTTTTTTTTTAAATCTAATAATAATAATAATAATAATAATAATAAAAATACACCATTTACTTTCCAAATACGCCATCTTATTGTAGAGATGCATCAATTCATCAGTGCACATTTAAATAAATAAATAAATAAAATGTTTTTCTTTACAATTTTTCACTTAAAATGTAATAAGTAGCTTCGGCTCTGTAACAACAGTGCGCTGTGAGTCTTGATTATAAAATCAAACAGCAGTTTTGATAAGAAAATGTACATTTTTTTGTCTATTGATTATTGTTAACAAACAGCAGTAGTCTTTATAAATAAATTAGCAGCTGTCTAGACAGCTCAGTAGGCTCATTAGACAACTATTGTTTGGACACAGCATTATAATACAAAGTACATTGTCAAAAAAAAAAAACACAACACCAAGTTTATGCATTGTTTTTTCTTTAGTACTTACATATAAGGAGGGAAATACAACAGTTGTTTTCTAGGGAGGATACAGGATGTTGTAACAGTGCTCTGTACATTAAGGGTGTGGCAGCACAAGGCTGACAGTACCGTGCTTCAGCAGGTCAGAGAGTACAGCTCAAATCTACACCACAACACAGCATGTGGTCAAGGCAAAGGCCTAGTAGCAGCTCCTCTTGAGAAAGAAAAATGAAAGCGCAGATATCGCAACTGCTGTTTCATATACAACCATACATCAGTTTAAAGTAGAAAACAATATGAAACCAAAAATGTCCTGATAGTGATGTTACACTTAGGAAAATAATTTTAGGAAAAAGTGTATGAGCTGCTACCAGAGACTTGCTAGTAGTCATATCGAGTCTTACGTACCCCATCAGAAGACTTTAATAATACAGTGGAAATTATGTTCATTTTGATCATACAGTTGAAAAGTTTACATTCAGTTCTGAGCCTCCATAAAGGTCAAGTGTGGGTCAAACTAAATCACTGACCAACACTCCAACTGTCTATCAAAACCTAATACCTCGACATGTTACATCATTTCATCACACGTCATGACTGAGGGTTTACTCATCAGAATCCTTTGAGAAAAGGGTGAAGGGGGTTACAAATCAGAGGACAAAGGCGGAGAGGTGTCAGTAATACTTTCTCTGTGACTTTTATCTGGCGTGCAAAGGACCCCTGATTAAACTAGGTGTGAGTTTAAAAAAAATAATGTTATAATAAAATCTATAAAACAAAGAAACAAAATATAGGTGTTTCTTCCCGGTTACAGGAAAATTATTAATAATACTATTAAAACAAACTCATGGGTAAATCCTGCATGTTTCAAATACAGCACAGTGGAAAAATAAACATTTAATACAGTGTGTGAATTTAGACGTCCTGAAGAAACTGAGGGGGCGGACTGTAACCCTGAAACTAACTTGTGATAGGTCAGCAGCAAAACAGATTTTTTTTTTTTCGTGCCTCACCACAAAAAAAGCTTCCAGACCCATTACCAGCTTACCCCTTTCTAAACTAGTAAATGTTTAACATTTCGGGCTTGATCTACTGTGCTACTGCATTTTCTTTAACAAAGCTCTAGCGAGCTTCAAAGTTAAAAAGAAATAAACAAACCCCAAAACCTGCAATTTACATTGTGGCAGATGTTACATCTAGTTTTGAGATATTTCTTGGTATATTAACGAAAGTAACCGTGGTGGCTATATCGATATCTGGGGCGGATCTACTTCAACACAATAATCAATTTGCATAGCATTTTATCCTTACCAGAGATCTTAACTCTATTACCACCTGCATGGGAATTCACGGTGAGATCAGTAAAGAGAGAGAAAGAGAAAGAGAAAAGAGAGCCTCACTGAAATTCAAGTATCTGGCTGCCGAGTCCCTATATGGCATCTGCCTCCCCTATTCCTCAGGCTAACTGAGTAATCAAGAGTTAAGCTTCAGCAGTCGTTATGTACTGAGCATGGTATGTACATAGGAGGGAGGGTCTGGCACATGCATGTAATGCATGGTAACATGATATGTCCTCTATTATCATTTATGTATGATTAGATAATTCTCACAATACAAACATATACAAAGTAAAAAAGAAACAAAAGAGTGCTAATTGTGCCTCCAAGTCTCCATTCATGCAGAGGAATGTTGGAGAAGATATCTAACTCCACAATGTACAAGCTCCTGCCTTTCCCGTGCTGACACGTGTTTAATTGAGATACAGACTTCTGTAGAGTTGTCCCTGCTTTGTCCCTTACCAATGTGGACAAATGTGGTGTCAGCACAGAGCGAGGTTGTGACGATTGAGATCCTTTTAATAAGGCATTAGACTTAACCAAGACAGTGAGAGAAGCAGAGGTGGCATCCAGATTGAGAATGAGTATGAAATACCAAAGACAGAAGAAGAACTAATTCAGCAACCAATGCATGTGTTGAACCAAGATAACACTGAAAAGAGGGGCAGGGGGATAAAACCATTCAACATTTCCAACACTGACAGAAAGAATCCATGGCATGTTCTCACGAACGTCCCTGACAGTGTCTGTGTCAGGTTTATCAACAATGGCATGAAAATGATCCATCTTAAACACAAATCTGGGACAAAAGTAGAATCTGCACTTCAAAGGCCTCTTTGTTGGAGAAGGATCTGTTGAATTAAAAAAAGAGAAGAAGAAGAAAAAGAAGAATGGCCACAGTGCCAAGACTCCAGGCATTCCTCTGAGAAAGATCCTATCCACAGTAGGGTGACCCACACATGATTGAGTACTTCAGGAATCCATTTTGATATCAGTGTTCACAACTGAAATTCTATGTTTCCCTTAAAGATTGTACACTCACCCTTCCACTGAGCAGCAATCATACACACCGCTAAAGCCATTTTTGCTAGAATCCCTTAGACTCGTCTTTGGCTTCCCTGGCAGCGTCATGAATATTTTTTAGTTCGTACAAGTGTCAATGTGTAAGGGAAACAGCACTGTACAGAAAACCCCAACAAAACTGGACATTGGGCCTTGGTTGTTTTTCTTGTGAAAGATACCTCCTCTAGAGTGAAAATTAAGAGAGAAAAATAGAAAGGAACGTCTTTAGAAAGCACATAGCCCGGTCAGGCTATTTCCTTTATCCTGCGCATGTAGTCGTGCAGTTCCTCTGGGTCCTGAAAGCCCATGTCTTGGCATACCCACTGAATGTCCTCTTCGTTGGCAATGGGGATGGAGTTGTAGGGTAAATCCTCCGTGGGAAGAGTGAAGGTGGTAAACTTGACACGCTTGCGTTTGGAGGTCGGTGAGCTGGCTTCCTCTCCGTGGTCTTTGGTGGAACCTCCGGAGCTGCCGTCTCCTCGGCCGTGGACTTGGCTTTGTACGCTAGTCTGGGAGCTGCCGCTGCTGTGGTGGTCCCCATGACAACAAGACTGTACCCCCTCCAAGGTGTTGCTGGGGCTCTCCACCGTCTGAGGCGAGAGATCGCTCTGGGTGCGCAGGGGTTCTCCATTACCCAAGAACACCCAGTGGTGGGAATGGTCCATGTTGGCTTGGCCTTCAGGAGGGATGCGCTTATGACGATACTTCAACACAAACACAATACAGTTTATAAGAAAGACCAGTATGGCGAGACAAAACACCCCGAGGAGAGCATACATGCCTATCTCCAGGTCGGTCATGCTACGGGGACTGTGCACAAATTCGTCATCCTCCTCGTCTTCTTCGGTTGGTTCCTCTGGATTGCTTACTGTAGGAAAGTTGGTGTAATCGATGGGCACACTTGCGGGCTGCTCATTAGATGGTTCATACCCTCCACCACCTGCGTTGGAATCGATAACGGGCCTTCTCGTGTTGGCAGGCATTCTAGTGTCTATTTCAGTCTCTGTATCCACTTCCTCCTCAGAGTCTTCATCCAGTCCAAAGCGGACTTTGACGAACACAGGAGAAGAAGCAATGACACTCTTGCGTTTAGTCTTCTGGCAGGTTTCGCTGATGGTCATCTCCACGTGCACTACCTCTCCTGTGCCCTCGCCTTCGGCCATGATGACTGGCCACCGCTGTTGAGGTTGTTGAGCCACTGTAACCACCTTATCGTCTGCTGTGGTGGCATTGAGGTTGTAGTTGTTTGGGTCATACATACTCAGGGGGGCGGCGGTATTGTCGCTGTAGTAAACCCAGATGGACAGACTGGCCTCCTACAAACACAAAACAAAAGAAATTGTGAGCATGAATTCAACCCTTACACACCCTGTAACAGTTAATTTTTTTAACCTGGCTTCAAATTCTTTGGTGCCTGTGATGCATTCTAAATGGGGTTGCGCACGGAACAAGAACGTTTTTTGAGTTAACACCATTGATTATTGTGTTGTGTTGACTCAAACTGCTTTGGTGAACCGTTTCATCCAGTTAACTAAAAAAGAACCAGTTCGCAAACCGGACATCACTCCAGACTGTTTGCCTGAGGCTATAGATTACAGATAATAATGTTGTAAATAATGTTCAGTTTCTTGCACAGACTGATCGTTTCACTTCATAAGACCTCAATATATCGTCAAGAGCCAGGGGTATTCATTTTGTGTTCTTTGATATGCTTTTTTTATTATGAAAAATGGGTACTAGGGGTGGGAATCTTTCGTCACCTCACGATTCGATTCACGATTCTTAGGGTCATGATTAGATTAAAAACGGATTAATTATTTTTCGATTTTTAATCATGATTCACGATTTTTCACCACAGTTTTTGTGCACACTGGACATCAAATGCACCAGTATTTTGATACAAAACACACCAGTCTATAGTATGGGTAGTCCTGATTCAAGAAATCAGTGTTTCCTATTAACTATTAACCTCCTAATAAATCAAAAATATTTGGGATGTGCCCGAATCCGAATACCATGTTCAAAAGAAAGAAAGGAAATGACTTTGGCAGTACTTACCACATATTTTACAAGATTAGATGTTTGTCAGTGGCGCTCAAGATCTTCAAATCATTCGCCATTGTCCTATCAGTCATCTCTTCTTACTCTGTTTATGTGGTAAGTTAAATTTTATGTACTGTAATGTTTTTTTTTGTTCCGACAGCATCAAGTTATTATTATTATTATTAAATTAACTAAAAAAATTTATTTTGGAAATTTGTGAATCGATGCGAATTGGTAGAAGACTGAATTGTGATTCATGTGTGAATTTATTTTTCCCCCACCCCTAGAGGCCACTGACTTGCATTTTTTTTAATCACCAAGCACCACGGTTTCAGCTAAAAATCTTTACTGTTCTACTGAAGAGAAAAAGTCACTTGCTGCACATCACGGATGGCCTGAGTGGCAGTAAATTAACTGCAAATTTTCAGTTTTGGGTGAACTACCCCTTCAACTTTACACTCTCTTTAATAAAAAACATGAGTAGCACTCACTGATGCGAAAGAATTTTGAGTAGCCTCTAAAGTCGTAGCTGGGTGGTATACTGTATGTACAGTACATTCAAACAAACCAATGATTTTGAATTTTATGGTGTTATACATTGTCAACTTGTTGCTCCAGGTAGATGTCTGTGCAGGACTATTTTTTTAGTCCCGTTCCCGCCTGCTTCCGCAAGGTTATATTCCGCACCCACCCGCTCCCGCTATATATTCACTCGTATACTCAAAAAATAAATAAATAAAATAATAAAATATATATAATAAAAACTTTATTTTATATAGCGCCTTTAAAAGTAGCATCTCAAAGTAGAGGTCTGCGCGGGACTGTTTTTTAGTCCCGCACCCGCAAGGTTCTATTCCGCACCCTTCCGCTCCCACTATATATTCACTCTTTGTTCACCCGCTGTCCGCTTAGAATAAATGTCTTCCCGACCCGACCGTTCCCGCTAAATTTAGATCTCGCTTCCAGAATCTCACATTTAAATTTCCGCTACTGAAAGAGAGTTAGGCTAACAAATAAAAGTGTAGTCTGCACAAAATTGTATGTTATTTTATTCGTCTTGTCAGCAGTCTTGAATTTATTGACTTTGACTTAAATTTATATTAATTATCTTAAGACACAAAATTCGTTTAATATTTTATGCAACACAGTATGAAAAAAGTGTCAGAGAAAAAAAAAATTTTGTACAAAAATTGTATATCTTATTTTTATTCATCTTGTCAGGATACAGTTCGTTTAACATTTACAACACAATATTAAAAAGTGTCGTAGAGAGAAAAAAAAAAGTATGTTGTACAAAATATAACCTATTAGCTATTTTTATTCGTCTTGTCAAAATACTAAATT